TAATTTAGTCTTTCATGGCAACCATGTAAAGGATATAAAGTAAAATTGTTAGAATATAAGTAAATTTACATTAGATATGGAATCAGTGACATCTATTGTGCAACATAAACACCATAAATGCTAGATGATATGTATATGTATTTTGTATAGCGAATTAGTGATACAGTTTAAGCAGACAGAACATGTCCGTTGTGGCGCACGTACGCTTTCGTAGAGTTTCTTGGTACCATAAGACAGGAAATCTTGTAATCTTGATTAATCTTTATTTCCGTTGTTAAATATAGTAATTCAAGTGTTAACAAGGGTAATATAATTCATTTACTACCTCTTAGTATATTTATTTATCATGGTAGCTGAGTCCATGGTTAGTGTTGCTTTTTTTTATTTCCGCGTGTTGCTTCGGCGGCCCGTGATAACTAACTACTACGGGTTTAAGTAAAAGTGTCAAACCTACACTTATTAAATCAAAAGATAGTGTCAATTAAGAATTTGAAAAAAGTTTCGTGAAAATAACAAGAACAACACTTATAACATAGAAAATTCTAAAAAATTCAAACAAAGAAGATAAAACCAAAATGGCGGATGAAGTGAAAATTCCGGTGTTTGATGGAAAAGATTTTGAATGTTGGTAAAAGAGACTCACGATGATTCTAAAAGTAAAGAAACGTGACGTAATAGCAACGAAAGTCATGACAAAAGTGGATAAAGAGAATGATTGGATTGAAAAGGACTTGAAGGCTATTAATGTTATGTATAGTTCGATTTTGAATGATCAGTTACAGTTTATGATCGACAAAGAAATGTCCTACGAAATAATGAAAAAATTTCATGAAATATACATAAAGGACTCTACTGTACTGCAAATTTGTGTAAGGAACAAGTTGGAAAAACTAAAATTACAAGACTTCGAAAATTCAAGTGCGTTTTCCTCTGAGTTTGAAGTATTAATTGATGAATTAAAAAGTGCTGGTGCAAATGTAACTAAAAAAAAGGAAATTAAGCTACGTGATGGAAATCTTTCCAAGTTGATTAAGTTATATTGGTGACTTGATCGATGTGTTAAAAGACTCTGATCAAACTAATGAATACGTGAAAAGTGGAATAGAAATAAATAATTAAATTTAAAAAAAAGAAAGATAGAAGCAAAACAGATCAAGTGGGTTTAAAACTAAAAAAAATGGAGCATGTTTTAAGTGCTGAAAATATGGACACTTCAAGGCACAATGTACGAAAACGAGACAAAGCGATAATTCATGGGAGCAAGGTGGTGTGCAGCAGCAATGAGATAGGTGCCAAGAACAACAATAACAGCAGTAACAACATTGCGGCGGCCGAGGCCAAGGTCATGCAACTGGTAGAAGCTATAATCAACATCGTCGAGGAGGCAGTTGGCACCAAAATAATCAAGGGTATTAGAACGAAGACAATAATATGCGTAGTTTTTAAGCGAAATTTTAACAAATAATTCGCTTGTTAATTTAAACAGCTGTGCTAGTAAGCTTGAATGGTTACTTCATAGCGGTTGCTCAGATCATGTTAAAACAGCAGCAGAAATAATTGAAACATCAGCTTATTTGAAAAATATAACTATCAATCATACTGTTAAAAGAATAAAACAGCTTTTGAAATTATGTTTCGGAAAAAGCCAAGTATTAGAAATTTGGAAATTTATGGAAGTAGAGTTTTTGTAAGTGTACCAGAGAAAAAAAAGAAATTCAAGATGAAATAAAAAAGCAGATTTATAAATTTTGCAGGGTTATGAAAATGCTTGTTATGGAATTCTAATAAATAATAAGGTAGTAGTAGCTCTACTCGTTGATATCATTAAAGATGGCTTGGATTTTGTCGGTTTACAATCAGAAAATAACATTGTAAAAATTAGTTTAACTTAAAGTAAAGTTAAAAACACAAATTGTAATTTAAATACAAATGGGAATGATGGAAATAAAAATTTGAATGTAAGACTGTCAACTAGGGAAAAAAGAGAGCCTGATAGATACAGCGATAAAAATTTTGTATATAGTTATAGTACTTATGGAAGTTACACGAATGCTGAGACACTTGATTCTTATAATGATGCAATGAATAGTAATGAGTCTGAAAAGTGGAAAACATCAATGGATAAAGAAATGTATTGTTTAAATAAGAATAAAACTTGGATTTCTGTAAATAAACCAAATGATAAAAAAGCTCTTAGTTCATAATGGGCTTATACTTAAAAGGCTTATGATATTTTTAAGGCTTGGTTAGTTGTTAGAGGTTATCAACAAAATGTTTCGATTGATGATATTTATCCACCAGTTGCAAGAATGCAAACTTTTGAAATTCTCCTTTTTTAATGTTAAAATAATTTAATTATTGAACAAATGAATGTCGAAACAGCGTCTTCGATTCTTAAAGTCAAATTCGAAGTATATGTAAAACAGCGGCAAGGCTTTGATGATGGCCCTTATAAGGTATTAAAATTAGATAAAGTGTTTAATGGATTAAAAAAAATCCGAATAGCTTAGTATGAATGCTTTGATACTCACTCAAAATGTTAAAATTTTTAATGAAGCTAAAATGATTGTTGCTTATATATCGTAAAAGACAAAAATAATGATGTGTATTTAATTTTTTGTGGAGAACTCATTAATTAACTGTTAAAATAAAGAAAAGTTGAATTTTGTTAAAAAATTATTACTAACAAGATATAATATGAAAGGTTTGGGAAAAATAAAAACTTATTCAGGTATTAGCATCAACTATGACTATGAAATTAGATAAATCACTGTTGATCAGAAAAACTATATTGAAACACTAGCAAGGAAATATGATATTATAAATTCTTAATTGTATGTAACTTCTATAGAACAAAATTAAAAACTGGAACTCGCGCAATCAGCATGTGATGAAATCAGGTACAGAAATTTAATTGGAGCTCTTTTATACATTAGTTCAGGAACTAGATCTGCTATTAATTTTAGTGTTAACTATTCAAGTAGATTTTAAAATTGTTATGATAGTGTTTATTATAAATATGCTTTAAGACTTTTAAAATATTTGTACTTAACAAAAGATTTTAAATTAATCCTTGAAAAGGAATTCATTGATAATATTATCGACTACTATGCTGATGCCAATTGGGCAGGAGATATTAGTGATAGAAAATCAACGACAGATTCTGTTATACGAATGTATGGAAATGTAATTTATTAGAAATCTAAGAATCAAAATAGTGTGACGAAATCCTCAATATCAGCTGAGTTTGTAGCGTTGTCTCAGTGTGTAAGTGAAATGAAAGTTGTAAAAGGTTTGTTATGTGACTTTAATATTATAGTTAACGGTCCAATTAATATACATTGAACATAATTTTGGTGCGGTAAGTATAGCTAGGTTTGAAAATTCTTCTAAAAGGTAGGAATACATTGAAACTCGTTATCACTTTCTAAACGAAAGTTATAAAAAATATGACAATAATATTGTAATAGTTGATTAAGAAGAAAATATGGGAGATATTTTTGCCAAAGCTTTAGGCAGAAATAAGTTCGATGTATTTAGAAATATATTGAATGTAAAGTAGTCTTAGATACCAAAATTAAGATTGTAATATAAAAGAGACAAGATTTTGTAATCTTGATTAATCCTTGTTACTGTTATTAAACACATTAATTTAAGTGTTATTAAGTAAAATTATTGATCCACTACCTTCAAGTATATTTATTTAACAAAAATATTAAGTATCCAGATTCTTAGGTATGAAAAATCGTTTACGCATCACAGTTGGAAAGACAGAAGTGTCAGATCGTCCGTTAATCATACGGCAATATCTAAGACTTTCTTCACTTTTCTGGCCTAGGTTGTTTGTGTACTGTTCTTATAAATAGCAAGTGTAATTTTTTACTGAGAAAAAAATGTACCACTTCTATCCTGAAATCATGGAGGAAAAATAGTAACTTTGACAGTCATATTGTTAAAACCTTATTATTAAAGAGGCTTTAAAAATTGCTGTGGCAGAAAATATGTACAACGTGCATATAATAAATTCGACTTCAGTTAACTAGTGTTGCAATTCTTTGCCTCCAGTTTGCGTGGTAACACTCTTCATAAAGTAGATTTTTTACCCCTAGTATAATAATACACTTTTACGTAATTTACCAAGGTGTTAAGACTTATAACTTGTAACTTTTTACTAATTACACAAACATAGTTGTTTACACGTAACAACTGTCATTTTTTAACCATCGGATTTTCTCAAATAAAGAATGATACACTTTTTCTTCAGATTAAATTGAAAACGATAAAGCTATACATACAACGACTGTTTTTGGTCTTGTTTAACTGATACTGTAGCTAAGCAACATAAACATGAAAATTTTTTGAAACTGTCTAGTTTTATCTTGAACTTAGAATCAGGTCTTTTCATCGTCAGAAAAAAAACCATGTGAGGTCGATATTTCAGTACTCAAAAATGTCCCAATAGTCGGCCATTTGACTGATTTTTCCAATGTAAATTTTTAAAAAATCGATAATGAGAGAAGTTATTCAGACACTGTACAATTACTTTTTTAATACAAATTAATGTGTATGCTTAATTAAAAAGATTAGAAAATTTCGTCTGCTTCAGTAAACGAGTACTGAGACATTGACCTTAGATGGTTCAACTCTTATTGAAATATTTTTACCAGAGTGGGTTGTATAGCACAGGTAAAATTTTGTATCACATTATTCAAAAATAATCCAAACCAGCTTCTTCCTTTTAATTTTTCAGTAGAACATTAGTCCATTGGGTTTGAAGAGCAGTGACAGACTTAATCATGTTAATCGTGGAAATTGAAACATTCTACATTACGTGATGAATGTTTTGTGTATAGCATTACTTAAATTCACTATTTATCTCAACTTTCTTACGTTTATATAAAATAAATATACTGATGATCAAAATAAATAATTTTTAACTTAATAACATAGTTTTTTTTATGTACAGAAGAGAATATATTAAATAAATTTATATATTTTAGCCAACTACTGGTTATTATGATGCCGCTTTAGGTTATCAAACAACAGGACCAGTTACAAGTCTTGGAAATAGCAGAAGTGATGCTTTATCCGGAGTTCAAGCTGTTCAAGGGCAATACACAAGTATGAACGATGCAAGGTTTGCCAGAACAGATAGTAATGCTTCTCCTGTATCATCAACAATATCACAACAGGTATCTTTTTATAACATTTAAAATATTTATTATGTAAGTAGAAACATTTTTTTCTTTATTTCTACGTATTTCAAAAAACGACTTAATGAAACTTAACTACTCAAAGTACAAGCATCATTTTTACAGCAAACAATATAAAAAATTTTTACCTTGCCAAATTAATGCTACATAAGTCGATCATCTTTCGATACAAGCAAGTAAATATGATGATAAGCAACAAAGTAAATGAACTAAAGTCTAAGCTTTGAGTCAAAGAGCTTAGTTATTTTCTCTGAAGTTTGTTCTAACTATAGACTATTATCACTATTAATACCAACTGTCATAGTTTTCTGTCTGTTGACGCTTTAAGTCAATCGAATTACTGACTATCATACGCGGAGCAACTGCCAAAAATTTTGCCATGGTTGATAGTAAAGGAAGGGAAAACTAAATGAACAGCAAGAACAATTTGCTTAACTTATGAAACGAGAGTGACTTTATTTGTTTTTGTTTTACCTTTCGAAAGGTCTCGAATAATATCGCTGCCTGGCCGCTCGCAAACCACACACCTATTATATCTTCTTATAGTAAATTTACAAAATACCTGCGCTGTGTTACTAATCTCGCTCGCTGATGTTGAGGTGAGACGAAGGCCTCGATTTGACGAAAAAAAACGATGTATTTGTCGGTGCCTCCAAAGGCTGCTTGTTGCTGATGAAGTCCACGGCAATTGATAAGTTGTGGTCTTATCGCTCTCTCGAATCTCCAAGTTTAAGGAAGAGTCGATTCCGTGGCTTTCCAGTCGCTTGCTCTGGCCGACCAGAACGAAAAAAAATGAACTCGAATACGCCTCGCACCATTGATTACCTCAAGAAATTTTCCCCCACGCATAAGGCAAAGCGAGCTATCCTTGTCTAGTTAATACCTAACAACACACAGACTTACATTGAGAGAGCATACCTACTACTCAAATTACAAATTTACTCTCTACTCTTACAGCTCTCTCTCTCTCTCTCATACATCCGAGCACTGTCATTAAATTTACCATAGCGATTACAAGTCCATAGTAGGAAAACAACGTATCTTGGTTGTATGACTTACCATATTCTAAAGTAAAGTCCATGATAAATGGTTCCAAATTAACGCTTCTTAGATATGATAGGTAAAAAATTTCCAGTGGCCAGTATCTAACATAAATTAGTTTCTTGTTGTTAACAATACTTTGGTAATTGTGGTTAGAATCTGTTTAAAATTGTGTGTGGTTAAGTATTTATTTTGTACTTGCAGTTTAAGATTATTATTGCTTGAGTTCAGTTCGATTCGCATCAATAAAAAATGACACATTTAGTTTTTTGTCCAATCAAATGTTTTGTAAAGTGGGAAGCGGTCCACTTGTCGTAAGCTCTAGACTACTAGGCCATCCCCCCCCCCCCCCCCGGTTGTAGTTGTAGTGATGTAGACACGCAGCAATCGATTGATTGATGAAAAAATCTTTATAGCTTTTTTCGACAGCTTTGTGCTACCATATATCTCAATACAAGTAATTGTTACAATACACACACCTGCGTATAATCTGGAAACTCTTAATTTTTGATTCCTGACAAGCCTATATGTAAATAAAAAAACTATTTAACATTCTGATCCAATGATACAATAAATTATTACACTATTATTTAAAGTGGCACAAAGCTCTTTGAATAAATTTTTAAGATTTTTGATCGTTCGTCCGATTTACATGAATCTGCAAATAATTGAAAAACTCTATGTAGTTGCAGTGCAATGCCAGAGATTTAAAATTCTGAAGAAATTATAGTTTTCCTTTAAAAAATAACGTATGGTCTTAACTAAAGAAAAGATATGAGGAACAATACTTGATAGTTTAAACATGAAGCATGATTTGCATCGTGAATTTTTCAATACAAAGTAAACTATTTTCTTGCTTTTTTGTGGTTTTTGTTTTATGTCTTGAAAAATATTGTTTACAGAAGAAAATTTTGTATACTAAAGTTGTTCAGGAGATGATTTTGCACATGAATTCGGTATTTTAAAAAATTCACAAAATAGTTTTTATTGTGTGAACAAGCGAAACAATTAAGAACCTTTAAATATCACCATGCACATTAAAACCAGATAAAATAAAACACAACATAAATGTAAAATGTACAATTAAAATTACTTAAATCCTGAGCAGCTTTTTTTTATTTGTAACTTTTAGTATTCGATTATCCTTTTTTTAATGGATTAAAAAATTAATTTTTTCTAAATACATAGGATCAGTACTAACCTAGTTAGGTAGTAACCTAAGATACGGTGTTTTCATCTTTTGGCTCATGACCGTTGCCTGTAACATCTTTTTGCCTTCGGACTTGGCGTGATCTCTTTGTCAATGTTTATTGCCGCTGCAAAATTTTGTTGTTTTAGTAAGGTGAATGGTTTTGCGGCAATCGACTAATAAGGTTACTAGGATATTGTGCGTGTTTAATGGGAATTAAGCATGTTATGCTGGTAGCGCGCCACGTATGCACAGAAGATGAATTCACGTCTAAGTGTGACTCGTTGAAGTTTGAAACTCATATCAGAAACCTTAGTTGCACAACTAATTACGTATGAACAAAACCATCTGCGAGGATGCACTTCTCTCCATTCTCACGTGATTTTTCCTCAAATTTCTAATAATGATGTTCGTTTTACCATATCTTTAGTGTAACTAGTAGTAAAATGAATTTTTGTTCGAGTGTATCATACGTATAGGCATTGTCATGCGTATTTTGCTACGTGAATAGTGTGTATATTACAATTTATTGTTCACATACAAAAATCACGATTATTTATAGCAAGTTGTACATGCAGCAGTAGGCATCCTAGATGATGTGCATATACTTTCGCTGCTTGTAGTGCTGGATGCTTGTATGCCTAGTGTTGGAAAATCACAACATGGCATACCTACAAATACTAAAATATGTATAAATCTATAACGTGACATGATGGCATTCATAAGCTTGCACCAATACAAAATCATCTAATATGCCTAAAATTGTTTTGCTTGATAAATCCACGCCAAAGTCCGTTTTAAACTACTACTCAAACATAAAAATAAATGTATGGTCTTCATCAATTTTTATTCGTTTACTTTTGTCGTACGACTTTTTATAAAAGTCTATGAATATTAAAACAAAACTTTGAAACTGTTTTGTTAAAACGTATAGTATATAAAACTCCGGTATATTACTACACAAGCCCCGAACATTAGATATTCTCGGCTTCGCCTAAGACATTTGCCACACACGTAAGGATATCCAACGTTCTGAACGTGTATTATATTGAGATTCCACAAGGTCACATGACTCCCGCGATATATGTATAGCCACTTGGGGGGAAAATAACACAGGCCTGTACAAAGACCTCCCGTTTTCGACTATATATAGGAAAACCAGCAGGGTTTTAGTAAGGTTAAATGTGCATTTTCACACTTTAAAAGAAAAGTTTTAAGCTGCAAAAGACTAATTAACTTGGAAAAAAATAGTTAAGGTATTGTTATCTCTTCAACGCTGTGTTCTCAGGGCTACAAGACTCTCGCCATTTACTCTTGTTGACAAGTGCCCTGTGACGTGTTCGGATATATATATAACGCCTCCGTGCGCGCTCCGCGCGCCAACCCCCGTCTAACAGATTGAGTAGACAAAAAAAAATTTTATATTTGGATAAAGTACACATGGACCAGAGAGGGATTGCGAATGTAAAAGTTCAATCACGTTAAACAAGTTATGGTACTTTAGAGACATATAATGGGTAAGGGGCAAAAAAGAGACAGAGGGGAACCTATGATCAGCGACTTAAAAAATCCTAAAAACGTGGGATGACTTGGGTACTAAATTATATTTATTTTTTAACATTTCAGATGGTAAAATATTCTATAAATAAGTATTTTTAGAAGGGAGGTGAAGGAGGAGCTGAGGAGGAGCGGGGGGAGCATACTCAATTATAATTTAATCAAAAATGACATAAAAACAAGCAAATAACTACGTGAGTCAAGGGGGAGCTGAGGGGGAGTGACGGGGCTGAGACTTAATTTCGTCAATACAACTATATAATAGAGGGATATATTCATATATGTATATACACCGTGTATTAAAAATAAGTGAGGAAAACTATACTACGCGATTAAGCTCGTCAAGACTGATAGAAAAGCTCTTTAAAAAATTTTGATTTGATGCGCATTCTCCGAGGTATTGACAAATTAACATTAATAATTTCTGCCAATCACAGAGCGCTTAGCGTCGGGGGGCGGGCTCTCAGTGCCGGTAGTGTAATCGACTATTGATGAAGAGTGTGGTGGTGGAGAGGTGCCTAGGAGAAAAGAAGGTTGGTACGCAGAGTGTAGCTTTATCGACTGCAGAGAATTAATGAGTCGTCGAACCAGAAATAATGCAAACACTACCAAAGTAAATGAGGATGTAGCAATAATAAAAGAGATGATAAAAGAATGCTCTTGGTAGTAATAATCTCAATAACCAATTCGCTTTTCTCCAAATTTTTAGCACATCTCTGAAAATAAACTCAACAGAAAAAGAAGTAATAAAAGGACGCTGGCAAAGCAATCTAAACACTTTACTGAAATTGCCAGTCCTTGAGTACGGAGAGCCAAAATAATAATTTCTCACCTTTGAGCACACTTACTGGTGACCTCTCAGTAAACTCCAAAAATCAAGACTAACTGACCAGTTGGCTTATTGCAAACCTAAAAACCAATCAAAGTATGGATTGGAGCAAGCCCATAATTTTCAAGCGCCAGATAATGATTCCACTAAAAGGAGCAGTCCATTTTATGACTTTCCATTTTCTCGCATACTCATTGGTGAAACATAAGTAAGATTACTCAACCGAGACCAACTGGCCAGTCAATCCATACATAAACTCCAAGTCCACAGGATGTTCTTGGTACTGGTGCTCTTAGTCGACAAATCTGCTTTCTCCAAATTTACAGGACATTTCTAAAAGTAATCTGTACAGAACGTAAAACA